TATTTATTATTATTTATTTATTTATTTATTTATTTATTTATTTATTTATTTATTTATTTATTTATTTATTTATTTATTATTATTATATATTTATTTATTTTATTATTTATTTATTTATTTATTTATTTATTTATTTATTTTATTTACGGAGACTGGTCCATACGTTTTGCAACCACTACCGCTGACGTAGCCCAACCAGGTGCGAACGCGCCAACTTCGCCCATCACCGTGAAGACCAGGTCCCAGAGGTCCCAGAGCCGCGGGAGCGTCGGTTAACGCGGTGCTGCAAGAAGAACACTTCGCCCCCGCAAGCAACGCCACTGATGATGCCTGCCACAGTTGCAAGCGAAACGTATGGACAAGTCTTTGCAAGACCCAGGTTTTTCTTGTTAATTTCAAGGTCATGTAACGCAAAAAACTTATCGATTTTTCAAAACATTGTAAATGACCTTTTCTAAAGAGGAAACAGTCTTTGAGTCAAAAATCTTCATCTTTACTTTTTTTACTTTGTATTTGTACTTTTGTCATTTGTACTTTTAATTACTTTTGCAATTTTCGTGAAAACGGAGGAATATCTGAAAATAGGACTACTACTTATGTCTTTCCGTCTATTATTAGTTATGTAGAGAAAATTTAACCTCTCGTGCATGAATTATGATAATAACCAAAAAATATTTGTGCATCTTATTCCACCACATAATGTACCAATATCATGTTGCGAAAGAGAATTTCAAACATTTCTTTCTAAAATTTTGAAAATTCATCTGTTCTTGAAGACATTATGGAAATAAAGGACTTGCAATTAGGTTTTTAGGAATTGCAGAAGAAGAAGAAGATCTTTGTACACCAATTATATATTTATTTCAATGCTTGAATTTACAAGTATTGAACAATTTTCCTTATAATATACATAATAAAAGATGTAGATACTTCAGATCTTCCACGCACACATTTAGTTTTGCTCGTCCATCTTTGCATCGATTAGCATTTGCTTCTGTTGTCTTTTTGGATGGTGTATCACATCAAAATTCTCTCGTGGAACAACAACACGAGCTTTTCGTTTCTTTCGACCAAGAGAGGTGGCTCAGAGCGTCAACTGATGTCGCGGCAGTGCCTCTGACCTGGAGTTCGATTCACGGAGGAGGCTCGTTTTTCGGCAGCAGTTAGATAACTAGGTCGATTTCAGGCGCTGTCTGGAGGAGAATTCGAGCGGCCGGCTGCTCTGATCGGTCAGTCTCTTCCGTGGTTTCTCCGCTCAACACCTGCTGAAGGCCGGAGCAGTACGTTAACAAACGGGCCACGGACAGCGCGATTTCCTTTCTCTTCCTTGTCCTATCCTCATCCCTTACACTTACACAACCTCACGTGCCGAGAGGTCCGGTGGGGAGCTTATTAGAGTTTGTCTCAACTGGAATGGTGCCAAGAACATTTACTTATTTATAAAACGTATCATTTAGTAAATTCATAAACACAACTAGAAATAATCTACAGGGTTTCTGCATGAATATTTACTACTTAGGTGTTTCCCTGTAAGCTGAGGTTCATTATTTGCAAGTAGGGACTTTCAGTAAACCACAATGGTTGCTTCTGTGCTTTCATACGAGCATCAACTACAGCAGTCTGAGTCGCAATGTCTCTGTTTATTGCTTTTTGCACAATGGAATTTTGGTCATTATTTTCATCAACACTACCACTCGAGTCACTGACTACCACTGATCTTATATCGGATCGTCTTCGGAGTCACTAAAGTTCAAGTCATCTTCAGATCTTCATATATCTGTGCAGTAATCATGCCTTCGGAAAGCCTTTCACATTTGTTCTTTTTGTCTCAGATCACATAGGATAGCCTTAACTGTTGGTTAAACATCTATAAACAAAATTCTGTAGTAAATAAACAAATAGGTAGTATTTGCAAACAATGCATAATGTACATGTAAACAAACATACTAATCTAAGATCTGTGCTTGTGATTTTACCTTTCGTTCATCATGTTCTTATATGAGGACACATAATTTTCAGGGAAATGTGTAAAATAATATTATTGAACAATAACTCCATCACACCTCATCAACATGGTGCAAAAGCACACAAAATATTTCGAGCAGCTACAAAAGTCACACTGTGTCACCAAATAAAAACCGAAAGATTCCCAATTTTTCTTCTGGCAACATCGTACATCCAAGAACAAGATGTTTCTGGAGTATTCTTATAATTTCTAACATCTACTGATGTTTTGTTGAACTGTTTGGAGTTTTTGCAAAATCGCAAATATTGGAAATTGTTTTCAAGTTGAAATTCTAAGATATTATAAGCGGGAAATAGTAAGTTCCCATATGAGGCCAATATGCATGAAAGAGTTAAAGAAAACCTTTGCAAAGGTTATTGAGAATATTTTTTTTGTAAATTTCAAGATCCATCAATAATCTGAACTAAATTGGAAATATGAGGTAACAATGACTATTGTTACTTTTTTGGACATCTGTTATTTATATAAAACCAAAATCAATTAAAATCCTATTGCACCTGTGTTAACATAATAAAAGAGATAAAACAATCCTAATGCAGTTGTGTATGATAGTACCACAAATCATTTGACTAATTGATATAATTGGTCACTCCATAATTATATATATATATATATATATATATATATATATATATATATATATATATGTTCCGATTCTAAAGCAATTCCGATCCTAAAAATAATAAATATCATATTTTCCCCTTTAAATAATACATACCATTTGTTACCATTATAAACAATTCAGTAGGCTTAGACTTTAATTTTGTACGTGGGAATGTTGCTCAAACAATATTTAAGTATTGAATATCTTAGCGAACCGACTAGTTTAATTACTTAAGTTAATAACAAACTGTGTATTATTTACAATATGAGTTTACAGTTGGTCATTGATGAACAGACTTGCGTGCAATCGTGCGTCTGGATTGTGTTTTACTGTTGTCGAGTACCGTGCGCTATTTATTCTATAAATTTAATGAATGTCATATAAGGAACAACTTGTGAATAAACAATTGAATATAAAAATATTTTTAAAAAATTAAAATTTGGTTGCTTTTTTAAATTTATTCACGTAGTATTATAGGCTAAGGTGTTTTGATTTTTGTTGATAATTTATTTCAAGATATATTACTTAATTTAATTTAAAAAATTGTTCTTTGTGTTGTGTCATAGCACACGTTTTCCCCCGTTATCTCCGCGTAATAGTGCAGGAATTTTTATATATTAAACGCCACATTCTTACCTATCCTTCTATTTTAAGCGAGAAAGTTGTTGACGAAACGTGTTTATTCGTTTAAAAATGAATATAGGTAACTTCCAATGCACAAGTACTAACACAATATTAAAACTAAAAATAAAACAATGCAAATGACGTTGAAAAGAAATTTTCAATAAAGATTTATTAGGCATTTCCGAGAAATATTTTGGAAGAATTTACAACCCTTCCTTGAAAATATTTGAAGTAATTATTCAGTATTCTTTGACAGTTACCTTTTCGCTTCTCGTGATAGTCACAAAAACATTTAAAAAGTTTTTTACTCTTGAGAAAGCTTCGTGAATGGACACACTGACTGGAAAGTTTCACCAAATCACTGCTGATAACGAAAATACTGGTACAGGTAAATCACAAACCAAATCTAACAAGACACATACACTCACATCCCTCCACAGTTAGGTACACAGTACTTGTAGACTTTTAGGTAGACAGAACGTGATAAAATAACTAATTATCAAACACAAATTTCTAAAACTCTAAATCTTCAATATAATAATTGTAGCAAGAAGGACCCACAATATTTCAACTTTGAAAAAATATGTGATTTCAGCGAACATGAGACTACCACCATTCTTGGTAGCGTTCTCAACGCTATCCCAGGGCAAAGTTTGATCATAAAATTCGCAGCCGTATTTGAGAAAAGTTTGAAACTGTTTTGAGACTTCATTTGAAGTACCTCAAAAATCAAAGTATCCGTTTGAAATTTGGCAACAGGATGGATCCATTTTTCGTTACAAGAGCTCGGCAAAAGGTTTTTTTCTGGCGAATATTCCCTGTTTTCTGACTTACGATTTCATAACTTTCTCTTCTTACCACCAATTCGTAAGGCGAGAAAGTGAAAATATACATTTTCATGTGCAATATTACAAAATTCAGACATTTTAATTTGCATTACTTCACTGTCTTGTTTAACGAATTGATTTCCTTAAAGAATAAATATTATCAACATTTTGCTTTTGCAATGTTAACATTTTGCAATTTGATAAAAATTAGAGAGTTTGCTTACCATAGGATAAGAACCAATTTGTATACTGTTCTTACAAAGAGAAAATATAAAAAAAGGGACATTTTTAAGTTTAAACATTTCCTGCATTTTACGCCAAATTACGCCCAATCTATTATTAAAAAAACATTCTTCTGAACGTGTTTTGCGCTATCCCGGGACAAAGTTCAATAAAAAAATTGAAGCCATTTTTTAGAACATTTTGAGAATGATGTTTACGCTTCATGCTAAGTACCCTGAAAAATCAAAATATTCGTTTCAAACTCGCAAGCTCTGAAATTGTTTAGATCGATAGATAATCAATTTTAGTGAAAATGGTGTGAAGGGTTTAGATGCTAGAGTTGATCGCAGATAGATGTTTTGCTCTCCGTCTATTTTGCTATATAAAGTACGCACAAAACAAGGATTCTGGCGTGCTGGAAAGAGTCATTTACTACATACAGGAACACGAATTATTTATTGTTTTATTATTAAAGCCCGGCTATGAAATGTTATGTCAAAAATTGGCGGTTTCTGCCGAACAATCACAATATTTTCTCTTAGATTATCCTTATTAGGATGTAAGGCGAAAAAGTAAAATGTCACTATTTTTTACCTAGCAAATGGACTCTGTTACGTAATAACTGGTAGAAATCAGAAGACAAAAAATTCTTTAGAGAAATAAACTTTCAGAGGAAGCATATTCGAGAAAGATCTGCATGGTCCAGAGAATATTGGTCGCAAACGGAGTTACACCTATTAGCAGCATCGTTCTTCCATATGATGGAATTAGAAAAAAAGGATACCAATGCATCCAAGCAACGTGGGACACGTCGAAGCTGGTTGTGGTGGTTCGGCCGGCGGGCAACCTGCCGGGCTGGTCGCTGCCTCTGCGAGTGTTCAGTGCGCGCATCTGGGGGGCGCTGGCGGCCACAGCGCTCGCGTACGCTCTGGCGTGGCGCGTCGTGTCTGGCGACGGAGCCCTGCGGTGCCTCACGGCCACGCTCGCCGCGCTCTCCTCGTGTGGCGGCGTGGCGCAGGCCAGGATTCGCGCCCTGCCGCAGCGCCTGCAGCTGGCCGGCGCGCTGCTCGCCTCGTCCGTCGTCATCGCTGCCTCGTACCAGGTACAATTGCCCATGCAGCTGGTCAACGACCTGATTGCATCTCCCACCCACGAGGTACTGTTGGGTTTCTTGCTGACCAGAGATGTTTCCGCATAGCACTCCCTGGTGAGTATGAAGTATGTCGCACTCATCTCATTTCGATGCCATTGTCATCAAATACTTGTAGTAGATTTCCGAAAGAGAATCTCATTTGACTCAAATCGACAAATATTCTGCTAGTAAGCTGTTGTATTGGTAAACAGCATATTCTGGTGTAAGTTGATTGTATTAGGTAAACAGCACTTCGAAATCTTGGCGAAACGTTATCAGAATGTTCTTTCTACACGCGTAAGAAACAATCTATCAAGAAATTATTACTAGTACATCTAATTGTTGTTGGGCGAGCAAATCTTGAATTAATAGTTATTCAAATCAACCTCGTCAGTCTGCGCAAACAACGGTGTACACAAAAAGCGTAAATAGTACAAAAGAGAAGAATCTAAGTTTTTTAAGCGTGAGTGCCATGCCTGTAATGGTGTCCATCACAAAGATGGCTACCATCACCAATGGTTGAAATATAGATAGCGCTAGGTAGTATCAATTAATACATAACCAAGAAAACTTCAATATAAAGATTCTAAAATATCTCCTCCTGTAGATTAGTGTGAGAAACGTTTAGTTGATGCTTTTGCCCTCAAAATTTTAATTTTTAAACACTAGAGCGTTTCGTTTAGGAGTTATTAAACGATATTCTGTCTGCGCAAACACCGAGGTACACAGAAAGAAAAATAGTATAAAATCGAGGAATCTAAAGCCTTTAAAACCGTGACAGCACAAAAATGAATACCATCGCCGAGGCTAGAAATCTAGATGGCATTGTAGTATTGGTAGGTGCCAAACCAGCAAACATTTAATATAATTTCAAAGAATACCATGTTTTGTATATTATATCGTTTAGGAGTTATTAAAGGATTGACTGAGTGCAGCAGGTTGCATTTGACATGCATATTTAGATCCTTCAAAATTATAAACTGAAAGTGCAATTCGTCACGTTTCCGTGAGATTATCTTTCTTTATAGATCTTATTTATAAAGATTGGTAGCATGTGAGAACCGCAAAAGGTATGTATATACTACTGAAAAAATGTAGGAGACGATTCCGACGTAATCCAATTATTTGACTAAAGATATTTGCATTTATTAGAAGAGATTTGAATTTATTACAAGTTTACAGCGTTATACATGTTACATTTTACACTTACTGTGCGTAATTTTGTTCGTAATCATTAACTTTATTCTGTCTCGCATAATGTCTACAAACTTTTCAACTGTGTTTTTAATTTCATAGTAGTGGTACCAAATCACTAGTTTGTCCACGACTTCTTGATATTGTATATTTCCTTACCCTTCTCTAGGTAATATCCCGTATATTTTCTAAGAAGTCAGGTTCAAGTCAGAGATATTCCCCAGCCAGGATAACACTTTCAATTTCTTTTTTCCAAATTCATGGAGGCTGTTTTGGCTTTGAGGCACGGTGCTTTATCATGTAGAAAAAGCCATTCATTAGGGAACCGCTCTAATGTGGGGCAAAATTCCTATTTAAGATTTTTTAAAATTGATATTGCGTCATTGTTTCTTTGCAAATGTGCAGTCTCACAGAACCTTTTACAGACACCACACACAACAGCATTTCTCTAAATTTTTACATCCTGGAGCTTAGAAACATTAAAAATACATGGTTAATTTGAACACGTCTCTCTCTCTCTTTCTCTCTCTCTCTCTCAGTATATCTATACCTGTATCCCTCTCTCACTATATGAGGACTCCACCAGAACTGATGTTTTGTAATACAAAATTTTTCATTGGCGCTGAGTACGAACTGTATGTGATCAGCTAAGTATAATATTCATATCGTAAACAATTTATATTCATTGAATGAATTTCTTTAGTTCAGAAAATAAGTGAAGACCATTTTTAACCATGTATCACTGGCTTCGTTGTGGGCGGAGGGCTCCCTGGGCTTCACTCCCCGAAGAAGTGATACTCCTTGAAGCGGCAGGAGAGAGCTCATGCAAGATTTTTGGTTGAGGATTTGCTGTTGAAAGTCGAAGGGTCTCATTTGCGCCAGGGCTCTACGAAGGGCGACGGAGGGCGAAACACGACTGTGAATTGGGGACCAAATATTGACTTCATCTTTTCTCACGAAACTTAATATCTAATTTTACATGGAAATTGGGGACCAAGCCAACCCAGGTAAGCCATGGGACTGATTGAGCAAGTAAGCTCGTTAAACCGGCCGTCACCGCCGCTAGGCTTCAAGCATTTCCTTGTGCTTTATTGAAAGTCTTCCAGATTCCCTCTATACAAAATAAAAAGCCAAGCAAGCACTAGAAGATTGTCCAAATTTCATATTCACCGTTACATGTTATTAGGTAATGGTAAGAGAATAAAAATGGTAAGATAAGCAGAATTCGTTCAATTAATGAAATACTCAATTGAATGAAAACTGGATAATTGAGAAGGGAGTTTAAATGAAAACTTTTTTCGATCATAAAATATCACTTCCACATTTATTTGGAAATGGATAAGATGGTTGGTCTCCAATTTCTGTATGCCCTACCCTTGACGGTCCCAAAGCGCCGAATCCAGCGTCAAAGTAAGAGAGCGTACACATACGCAATATTCCGTGACATAGCCGACGAACTCGTACGTCTGGAACATTTTACAACTCACAACGATTAGGTAGCCCATCAGAGAGCGAGTTAGTTTAATGTTGCTATGAGTTACTGAGTTCGTGATAAATGGGAAAGCGAGAGTGTCATTACGGGTGGTGGTGGTGGTGGTGAAGGAGATGAAAGGAAGTGAAACGCCAGCAAGCCCCGGGCGAGTATTAAGTGAGAGCTGCTATTGAGTTTTCGAGTGGGGTACACACAATTCCTCGAACTGTAATTCTTTATTTATACTTTGCAGCATTTACTAGACTCTTCAAAGTTGAAACGTGCTCGTGAATCGTGATTGCCCTACACTGGCTGCTGTGATACTTTATTCGCGAAGATTGGAGATACTGTGGCGTCGTGGAAGTGAGCACAAAACAGTATATACAAGTTTATTTTCAGAACAATATACTCCAACGAATCTTCTCCCGCACACACGTTCAGGCATTTCCCGACCGCCAGCCGCCATCGCACACTCGAATGCGCTCCCGCCGGGGCGTGCATTCTGAGAGAAGCGCTTGCTTTTGAAGAGCAAAACCCTTCGGCGCGAAAGAGTGGGCCTATGTTACACTCGCCGGGCATCCCCACCTGGCCACCGTTGAACGTGGGGCGGGGTTCGCATATTACCACGTGACAATCTATGAGCACGACAGTCCACCTGGTTCTAAAAATAACCCAATGCTGTGGCTCTTAAGCTACTCAGCTCTATGGTATGCGGGTCTCCCACGTCCTCCCTCACGCTAAAATTGCCCGTGTGTTTCCGCGACACCTCCGCTTTCTTTCCACCAATGTGGAAATTCCGGTAATTGAGACTTCATCGTGATCGACCAATACTCTCACATCCGTTGTTTTGTTGTATGTTTAAAAACATGCATGGTGGCTGCCGGACAGTGCAGGAAGATGGGGATACCTGTGAACTGCAAAATCTGCAAATAACACTAATTCATTGTCAAATACAAACATGAATTTAATGATCTTAAAGAGAAGGATTCTTTCTCGAGAAATGCTTTTCTTCACCAGGATTATGATGTACAATATTATTAATCTAAAATACATAAAGACACAAGCGCGGCCACACAAATGATACAATTTGGCAATCAAGAATCATTTCTGAGGAGTTAATAAAAAGTCTTTCTTTGATTTCAGGTATTCATTGCTCCAAAATAAAATATTCGCTGCTTGGTTAAAAGCGAAACTGTAACTTTAATATTGGATTTTAAAAAGGAATTCGGCGAAACATTAAGCTGTTTATCAATTGAGGACGATGTGTAACAAGTAGTCCAATTAACAGGTGAAATAAAGTTCAGTTAACACATTGCTCGAACATAATTCACGCGCAACTCGGTCTAATCAAGTGCCTCACTCCACAGAAGTCCCGCGATGTCCAAGTGCATTCCTCTCGGCCGGGCACAACTCTGCCACCCGAAGCCTTACACCTCCGCGGACTAGAAAGCGCCGCCCTGTTCGTATCCCCTTCGCTCCTCTGTGCAATCCCGTCGAAGCTTCCATTTTCTCTCTCTCACTTTTAGTTGCGGGCTCCGATTGGCTCGAGCCTTCTACGCCTAAATAATGGCACATCCCTTCTGAAAGGTTCTAAAAGTAAAACTTTTCATCTCTCTCTCTCTCTCTCTTACAACATTCACGCAACTGACAGGGGCAGCTGCAATTACGTGTGAGTATGAGCTCATTCATTTTATCTGATGTTCCCCATAACGGTTTCTGATGCAAGGATGATATTTGTTTAAAATGCTGCACCCTGCTAGGATGCAGTGGGGTAAGTCGGTCTGAAGAATGTGCAGCTGGCAGAAGCACACACTAAAATGTGCTTATAGGCGGCGCGTCGATTCGGTTGGAGAGGTCTAAAAAAGGTTCCCTAGCTGTCAATTTTCGAAAGAGCCAGCACAAAGGCAAGTTTAAACACGCACGTGGCCGCAAAAATCTACTTCATATATGGAGCTGACGAAATCTTATATTAACTTCACATAATCTTGTTTAATATTATTGGTCTCGGTAACAAGAATCTCTACGAAGCCACAATGCTTTAGCTGAATAAATGCGTTTACTAGGAATTTACGCTTTATATAAATTAACCCTTCGGGTTTCTACAAGATATTTAGGTGTTTGTTACATGGAATTTTCCGTATGTTTCCACGACATTCATTCTCTTTTTCTAATGCTGTGTAATACCGGCGAATGCGTCCTAATACCGAGGGTAACCTGCCCCCACGGGACCTGTCGTGCCCACGTGGACGAGACTATCCCGCCTGTTGCACACTATCTGTTCACTCGCCGATGCTAATTACCAGGGCGCCCTGGCACAATTGCCGTGCATCACAAACGCGTCATGAAAAACGCAAACAGTAAATTCAAAAGTAATAGCAGACATTTTAGTGAAACGTCATCCTTTTAACGTTACTTTCACAGTTCACTATGAGCAATAATCCTAACATCTCTTACGATTTATGTTACCAGGGACGCCTCTATTCGCTAGTCGCCAAACCGGAAAGATTTCCGGAAATCGACACCCTAGAGCAACTGGCTGATTCTTCGGTGCCTGTGGTCAGCTACGGTGTGCCGGGGTACTTAAAGTTTCTGATTGATACAAAAACTGAAGGACTCTCTCCTGCCCAATTGCTGACTCGTCGAAGAATTATTCAACAAGGCATTCGTTTGATATCGTTAGACGAACTTATGATGATGGTAATTCAACATCAAAATGTGGCATTTCTTCTTGGTAGCTCTGCGTGGAAAACTTCATCACGTGAAGTATTATGTGGAAGGAAAGTGCATAACCTGAAAGAATCTTTCAGCAAGGAAGGAACGTGCTTAATAATTACTGCGTAAGTACTTTTAATATTGCTGTTTAATGTTACTTTAGTTGTGAAAGTTTCTCGCATAAGTGCTAGAAATTTTCTCATATCTCTTCGTCGTCTCGAGACGTTCTGGGGTTCGAGTCCCAGCGGTGGCAGAATTTTCGACACTAGCTACACGGACAGGTCGAACTCCAGCTATGCAGTTTGGAGGAGAATTCCAGCGATCTGCTGCTCTGATCTGTAATTTTCCATACTTTTTTCGTTTAACTTCAGGGGAATCCCAGAGCAGCGCCCCCAACAAATGGAACTGTTCGCTAACTACACACATTTTCACGTACTTTCACCCCACTAGCGCATATTTCGGTGGACGAGTTAGGAGATGGGAGCTTGTCACGGCTGGGCCTTCCTGTCGGAGAAAAATTCCCGTTGGCCGACTTGTAGGACAACGTTGAATTTCAACATTAAAACATCTCCCTAGGCAAAACATACCCCGCGGTAATGGAACCAACGTTCTTCAAGAACTAATGGTGCTATTACATCATATTCTTTCTTGCATTTTTGGATACGGCTACGTAATATTGAAATATTGCATTTTCTGAGCTACTAACACCTCAGATATTATTTGAAAACGTTCAGTTCAACCAAAGCGCCTGTGATCCATGTCTGCATTCATTTCAATAGTCAGGAGCAACAATTATTTCTTATTTAGACAAATGAAACAAACAGGAATATATTTTACTGCAGCAAATTATACAGAAGCGAGCAACGCACGTTTGACAAGGCAGCGTTGTCAAAACTATTTGCAATTGCTTGGTGAATAATAGCAATCCTTGGTTAAAACACTTATTTGATCTGTATTCTGATCCGAACTTGTTTATGGGTGTCATAGTACATGGAACAGCTGATCAATAAGACTAATACTAATAATCTTTTTAAATGACTAATATTCACGATTTCTAATACTAATTTATTACCACCTTATTATATCTAGACTCCGCCTCAAACGAAGTGGAGGAAAATAAAATTTGTAATTAATTTTAAAACTTTATAATAATGTGGTTCAGTGTGTATATTTCAAAAACTTTTATAAACTAGTGTTTGGCCAATCTCATCTAATAGGGACATTTTTTAAAACAGTCAAATGAATACATTAACGTAGTATAGCAGAAAAATAGCAACGTGTTTATTTTGTAAAAGTGTAAAATAAGTTACAATTTTTAATTTTTCAGTTTTAATTTTTAACTCACCAAATGTTTACCCCCAAAGCAACATTATTCTTACAAAAAATGAATGATCAGTGTTCTATTATATTAATTTATACTTGATGAAATTTTGAAAGACTAAAATATGGAATGTATTGCTGGTGAAATGCTGAAATATGTATAGATACGCGATCTTGCTTTCAGTAAAAATGTCTTTTATACCTCACAACACGGACAAAAAGTATGGAATATCAAATAGGTTTCAAATAATTCCGAAAATGTTAATTTGGAAACAGGCTCAACTAAGTTAAATAGCCTTATCTCATGACCGTCATTATCTCGACGCTCAAAAACAATTTTTCATAGCTTCTCAAATATGGATTGCAGCATTGTTGCGCAATCTTCAATTGTGCTTTGCAGATTGCTTGAGAAAAATACATCAATACATTGAAAATAGAAATTGTAGAATAGAGAAAAAAGTGAAAATTGCATTTGTACTAAAAATGTGTTCCCTAAATGGATTTTGGGATAAAGTCATTTTCAACTTTTCAATTTTTAACTTTTTTCAAAAATCGCTTCAATTTTTTTCTTTAAATTATGTTGACATATACAATAAATGGTCTTGTCTCATTTTCATGAATTTGAAGATTTTAGATTTAGCTTTAGATTTATTCAGTAAAAAAAACCAGTAAAAAACTGTATGTGACGTAGTGGGGGGAAATATTATCTGCGAACGTTTTCTTGAGTTCCAGAATCTCTTCCCCTCATTTTAACTATAAATAGTTGAACAATGAGTAAAAGTTTATCGTAAATAAATAAAAATATATTTTAAAATAGCAAGATAGATATTGATTGATTTATTGAATATGGAGATTATCGCCAGGGTCTAAAAAATCAGCTCATTTCAACAAAAATGTCATGTACATTTTTTTCAAAAATCTATTAGTTTTCGCGAAATTAATGAAATATATGCAGGTGTCCCACGAACTATGGGTCACGAGAAAAATTCTCGGAGAGCAGAAACGGATCCAAAGGTTATGAAAAATAATATAATTTTAAGTATAATATAATATTGAAGTGTTAATATTAATTAAACTTTTACTTTTCACTCTATTCTATGCAATGCTGTGAATTTAATAATCAAGTAAATGAGGATCTTGTCAATCCCAGGAGATTTCCAGATTCCTGAAACAAATGTATGATCCAAATTCATTGTTCTTATACTACATACAATATTTCATGTATAATAAAAAATGGTGAATATTCATAGTATCACATAATATAGAATAGTTGTGGGTTTGGTGGTGATGATGGTAATACAGGATATATGAATATATAAATTTTGAATATCTAAAATATCGCATATGTAAATCTAATTATCCGTGATAAGAGGTATACATTATTGCATATCTATAATTTGTATGTTCTATACCTAATACAAGTGCAATTTCATGAAGTAAAACAGAAAATAAATTATATTGACCTCATGGTGCAATGCATCACTATACCAAACTTCATCTAAATCAATATGGATTTCTAATGGAGAATTATTTGCATTAAGAGATTTTGCATGTGTTAATATACCTCTTTTTCCATTAAATTTATTGGAACACATATATTGACCACGCTGACGTTGACGTTCCCTACGTTTATACGATATATTTATATCAGGATGTAATATATCTCTCTCAAAATTAAAATTTATTTGAGATGTCTAAATTTCACATGGTGATTCAACTAAATATAATATTGCCTGATTAACATTACTATAATAACATTTTTGTATTGTTATTCTATTTCTGCGAAGACGTTTAAAAATGAGTATCATGCACACCTGATCGCGGTCTATTGTATCAATATTTAATTCCCAATCTAACGGTAACTGATAATATTCTTGAAATTTAGAATTACGTTGCTTTCATCACCATTTTAAGAATAACATTCATAGTTTGCTAATTTTTGTATTGCTGATTCACTAGTATCTACTTTTATATGAATAATACACGTTGCGAACCATAATAGATTAAACCACATTTATAATATTTTAAATTGATAATAGTTCCTAGTCCATACTTTCATTCAATAATTACTAGATGAGATTTTATATCAATAATTTCACGTTTCGTACATCAGCAACATGATATTCATGATTTTCCATTACTTCAGTTTTCTAATGAATTTTAACATGATATGTAGTTTGGTTCAGTTTCGGTACAATTTCTATTCCTTATGGAATTATTATTTATAATTTTCTTCTAAATGGAGGTTTGTAACGAAAGGCCACATATCATGTGTAAAATTAATTAAACAAATTACTGAACTAATGGAAAATCGTTAATATCATATTGCTGTTATAAGAAACGTAAATATGAAAATAATAAAATAGCACTGGATCTAAAATCTGATAAACAAGGTCAAATGTTTAGTACAGTTTTACCTAATCAATATGGTAATTGTTTAAAAGAAAACGATATAAAAATCTTTTAAAAACTAAGAATTTGGGATATATAAAGGGTTTAAGGCAAAGGATATTATTAAATTTTGTTTTTTTATGATTGAACTATATTTTTTTGTGAAATGACGTAATTAATGGTAAATACCTGGTATAGCGTTGAATTTGTTAAAAATGATATTTTGTTAAAAATACAACGCTTAAAATGAGGATATTTGGGATATAATTGGATAAAATAACAATAAATTTGAGTATTTTAATACGATTTTAATGAAATAATGGAAAAATCTAAAACTTGTTTCTAACATTTCCAATTTCATCTGTCGATCCAATTTAAACAAAGCATTTCGAATATGAGCAAAATCAAAATAAACCTTCCTCATTCATAAAACATGATTCAAAAGGAATGGGTAATGCTAAAATTAACTGGAAAATTGGGAAATTTCACATATTTAGGACACCGGGTGTGAAATATGAAATATATTACATTTTATTTGCATCATTCTCAATGTTTTGACTATGTTTTTATTCATAATTAGTATCACTGATGTCAAAGAAACTTCTCCTTTCAGCAACTGGCCTTGGATATACGTGGTTGAAGATACCATCTGGCGTATGCGACAAGCAGGACTGTACCAACACGCTTATGAAATGAGTATTTACGTGTGGAACCAATATCATCCCGATCGAGCGCACTTTTCCTTCAAGGATGAGAAGTTGAAGACCACCCGCGTTCTACAGTTGGCAGACCTGCTGCCGCACCTGGAGCTGCTGGTGGTGGGGATCCTGTTGGCGATCACGTGCTTCGTGGGTGAGCTTTTGCTCCGCCACCGCTCGGTCTCCTCCTGTGGCCCTCCGCCTCACCACAACCCGGAATCCTGTCCCCCACTAAAACCACGCCTCGACCACCCAACCCCCTTCCATGAACTTCCCCCTGACTCCTACCCTGAATCCCATCCCCCACCACACTCTGCGTCACCTCCACCCACTGTCTACAGAGGCCCAGTGTATTCAGACACTAATTGAATGTAGGGTGTCACGTCGGGAAGCAAGTTGTGCACAGACACATCTACATACACTAACCACTCTGTTTTTGAAAAAGCGCATAAGTGAAAATAGAAATTTTTGTTTTGCTCTTCAGTGTGACAACACTCACACGATATCCAAACACTGATTAATGGTTTGGTCTGACGACAGTAAACAAGTATTCCACTGACAAGTGCAAGTACACGTTTATTTACAGAGAATATTGGTGATGTTCAACAAATATGTATATAAATCACATTGAAATAAACGAGTTGCCTGCACAGCTTAGTAGTTCCTTTTGTGACGTCATATCAGTGGCCTTGTTGTGGGAGGCCACTTATGAACCCCGTAGACCACTTGGGGCAAACTAGTGAACCCACTAGACAGTCTGGCTGTGGAAACGCGTCGGCGGAAACAGCCAGATGACGCAGTTCCGTCAGCCGACTCAGAAGGTAATATAAACGGACCCCGGACCTAAACTCCTTCTTCTGATTCTTGGGCGCATCGGTAGGAAGTCGTGAGGGTTGTGCGCGGCGCTGCATTTCAATTCATAAGCTACTGAGGCAGAGAACTGAAGCCGGCGTGCTACGTCGAGACGACAGTTGCGGCATACTCGCTTGTATGCTCACGTAGGCTACTGGTGCATCACACCGAATACGATTTCTAATTATCAGGCCAGTGGTGGTGGTGACCAGGAACATTCTTTCTAGTAACGGGTCAATATTGTTTATTGAAATTATTGTACATAGTATTCAGGTGTTGGAGCATATTTCAAATAAATACTCAATAAATTACAAACCGTTCACGTCTGTGATTTATTGTCCTGGCAAAGACGCCACACTTTACGGAGATGTTAAGTTGTTCTTCTTCATCCCTATGGAAAGTCTAGCTCTGTCTTCTAAGGCACAATGACATGATATAATTGTATCGAAACGCAAAATCTCATCTCCTGTCATTCTCATGCGGCAAACAAATTCGCAGAGAAGCTGAAAAATACAAAGTTTATTTTCATAAATACCACTACTACATTTGATGAGGCCCTGCAATGGAAGTCTACATTCAATTTTCATTGTAGGTAAAAATGTTTGATTTGTAAATATTTTAATTACACTATTTAGTTGTTACGATTTGAAAATAATATTACGTAATGGTATGTTTCCTTGTTTAGTTACTTTTCTTCATACAACATATTGTAAACCAATATTGTAATGAAGAGAGACACGGTGTTACAGAAAAAAACTGATTAAAAGCGATTTGCCACTTGCTTCGAAGTATTTTTCAGATTGAAATTCGCGGGTATTCTATCTCTTGTAGATAATGTTGATTTAAAAAAAATGTTACACAATAA